TTTCAAGGGTGGAGTCAGTGGTTTCATTATCATATTTGGTCTTGTAGGGCTGTAAGAATTCTTAAGAAACTGCTCTTTTAAAATGTTGTAGGATCTATTTATTTTTAAATTGTAAGATTGACATTACAGGCTGTCTGCTCCAATAAATAAAGAATAAGCTCTATTCTCATTTAAAGGTGCAATAGTCGATATTTTTTTTATTTCTTACTAGTAGACCTAACCTGAAAATATATATTGAAAATGATTTTTTAAAAAACGATGGTGATAGGCCATGACCTTAGCACAAGTGTACTACATGGCTTAGAAAACCCCTTTAGAGAACTGCTTTCTGGTCTGTAGTGCTTGATTGTGTTTGGATGGAGCTCCTGTCAGTCATTTTATAGAGCCTCCCTATTCACACTCCAGGGCCCCATACACACCTGGCATTAACATGCGTCCTGAGTGTTCAGATTACAGGTGGACAGCCGAGACGCATAGAACTTCACACCTGGTGTTATCAATGTGTCTTCAGTGACCACATATATCGGATTTCATATATCGTTTCACATCTATTACATTATTAGTCTTCCACTGCGTTTATGTTCAGGTAGAAATGTCCCATGAATCATATCTCATGTGCCTGAACGGACTGTTTCAGAGGTTTTAATCGCCTTTGAAAACGCATTTGACCCCATTCACACCTGTACTTAACGCTGTCCACTTGTGATACTATCCCCCAGGATGCATTGTAAAGCCAGGTGTGAATGGGGCCTCAGTGTGAAATTGGCAAGAGCCCAGGACAGCCAGGTAATTCTCCTGTGAGCAAACAATCACTGCTTCAAAAAAATGTAACGACAAGAAACATAGATAAATCCAGAATAAACACTTGCCCAAGGTTGACAAATCTTGCCTAATGCACCTTTAAAAAACAAACTGTAAGATGTATTAATGAAAGAGAACCACATTGGGATCACTGTCAATCCACTGACGAAAAAAAAAAAGAATAGTGTGCCTTCAAATCATATCATGTTAATGAACTTGGCCTTTGTACCATTAGCATCACTTGCACCGTTCAAGCAAGAGCCCACATTGCATGAAAGTAAAAACCTCCCACTTGCACGACTTCTTTGTTACATTCTGTGGGATCCTTGTGAACCTTTTTAAAAATGAAAAGAATAACGTGCCTATTCCTATCCATATCTCTGTTTGTATCGGTTCAGAACATGCTGTCTGTTCAATCCGAATGTATTCGTATGTGGTTACACCTCGTGGTAGAAATCTACTTCAATCATAATTTGTCTCTACAGAGATATACACAGGGCTTTTTAATCTCGCCTGCACAGTCATTACATGTGTTTGTACCTGTCCGTGATATTTTCTAATGAATTTAGTTGGTTCTATTTCCCAACATATAAAATAAACACATAAATATAAACTATAAACTTCACGGGATAAGTCATGATGGGATCTAGTCTGCCTTTTCTGAAAAGCTTTCTAAAAAAAAAGTGAGCCTCCTGTTCATATATGTATTTTATATCCATTTAAACCACATTATCTGTTCAATAAAAGTCATGTATTTCTATTTGGTTATATCCCTAAGTTAGTTCTGGGGCCATCAGCTGCCATCAGAAGTTACATGATTAGTTGAATGAAGTGAGCTATAAGCAATTAAAGTGTGTCATGTGATCTCTATAAATTCACCTGTACCAGGAAGACGTATGCATCTATTAGAGACTATTAACAAACCTAAACAAACCATATCGTGAAGACCATGGAGCTATTAAACCAAGTTCCAAAGTTTTGGAGAAGTATAAATCAGGGTTTGGTCAAACTTTGTACATCCTGCAGAACACCATTACATCCATTATTAAAAATGGAAAAAATATTGCACATGACTCTACCTAGAGAGGGCTGACCACCGAAAGTAAAGGGCATTAGTCGAAGAAGCATCCAAGAGGCGAAAGGAACCTCTGAAGGAGCTGGAGAGATCCACAGCTCAGATGGGAGCAGTTGTTCATACGACAACCATAGGCCAGGCACTCCACAAAACCGGGCTCTCAGAAGAGTGGCGAGAAGAAAGCCACATTGGAAAAAAAAAAAAAAAAACATCATTTAGAAAAAAAAAATCATTTAGAGACCCAGCAAACGTGGAAAAAGTTCTCTGATCTCATGAGACCAAAATAAAATTTTTTGGCCTTGGTACAATGCGCTATATTTGGTGGAAACCCACAACTGCTCATCATCATTAGAACACCATCTACAATGAAGCATGATGTTGGCAGCATCATGCTGTGGGGAAGCTGGTTAGGGAAACTGGTTAGGGTTGAGAAGAAAATAGATGGAGCCAAATACAGGGCAATTATAGAAGAAACCCTGTTCTAGTTTGCAAGAGACTTGAGACTGGGGCAGAGGCCTCTCTTCACTTTCCAACAGGAAAAAAAACCTCTAAGCAACACTGGACTTGTTCAAATCCAGGAACTTGAATGTGTTAGAATGGCCCAGTCAAAACCCAGATCTCAATCCAGTTGAGAATCTGTGGCAAGACTTAAAAATTGCTGTCCACCTACAGTCTCCATCCAACATGACATATTTTGAGCAATTTTGCTAAGAAAGATCAGTAAAAACAGGCTGCTGTAATTGCACCTAAAGTTGGTTCTATCAAGTACTGACCCAGGGGAGGTGGGGTTGCAACCAAGAATGGAACTTGTTGCGTAAATCAAATGGTAAAAATCCCAATTGAGTCCAATTCAGTTCCAGGTTGTAACATTACACAATGTGGAAATGGACAATGGGGTGAATACCTCTCTGTATTCAAACACTGAATATTAGTACTAAAGAAATAAATAAGGAGGAACGGAATAACAGAAACGGATGTATGAGGATGAGGAGGAAGAGTGTGAGATTCTTTCCAGAGACCTTCAATGTCCCTCCTGTTATGACAACAGACAGGTGAGCAAGAAGCACTGCATGGTGTGAGGCACAAGAACCTACGTCAAATACTCCACTAACTCGCACCACTACACTTTAACAGACACCACCACACACTAAACACACTAACACGCACACCCCTACACACTAACATACACCATTACACACTGAAACACACCATCACACAATAACGCACACCACAATATGAGGTTTAAAGCATTAGTGTGCTTGTAAGACTCATTACAGAATTCACTCAGTCAAATTACTGGTCTTTAAATACAGAAACACACACAAACACAACAACATTATGGGGTTAAAAAGACACAGGGCACACACCACACCCACACACACACACACACACACACACACACAAACAGGGCTGTATTAACATGTCTCTCTATTTGTATCAAGCTGCTTTTACAAAAACATCTTGGTATCTGTAGGTAACCAATATGTTTAATAATTTTCTAATTATATCTATATTTATATCTAATTATTTACATATAAACTACACAATAAAGACCAATACAGACCAAGCGCCGCATTTTAACCACTTACGACTCCAGGATATGACTGGCAGTGGTTTCCCCCTAGTGGCACATCTAATGTTTTTGGCAATGTTAAACTGTCCCTGGTCAGACAGAGAGTCGATCCTGGTCTAGGGTGCGGTTTCACTTGTCACTCTCATCCAGAGCCCTGCTCTGAAAATGTTCTGAACATTTTCATTTTTTTCCATTTACCGTAGTAATTGCAGATCCAAAAGAATAAACGTGATTAAATGATACACTGACATAATGTATTTTATTTTCTATAACTGTTTTAACAACGTTCTTTATTTAGCTGTTGTGTATGCACAAAAAACGAATGTGAAGGAATTTCTTTTTTCCTAACAAGCGTCCAAGTATGAATCAATTTAAATAAAATTAGCAACAGAAATTATTACATTTTCTAACGGACACCAAAACATCCTTGTGATAGCAGCTTCAGTTTGCAATCTAGATTTATAACTAGACAGGTTTTATGTGGTTTCATTCAGTGACCATGTTAGTACAACCATCAATATCAGCTATGCTACCCTGCTTTCTAAAGCATGGACACACACACGCACACACACACACACACACACACACACAATGTCAAAACACATCATTTTGCACATAATGTTCTCAAAACGCTTCTGCATCATGACCTGGTCACACAGAGAGGCATTTTTGGAGAGCGTTATGTGCGCCGCTCATATGAATCACGTCAGAGTGTTCACTGATCGTTAATACACTTTATAACCAGACATTTGACAAAGTCACTATACATGAAGAGACCCTCATACATAGAAAGCATGCCATGCAGAGCCTACACAGGTTGGTTACAGAAAAAAAAAAATAAATAAATAAAAAAAAACAACAAGAACAAAACATTTTTATTTGTAGTGGTGTTTCCCTGCGACATAACACGAGTTGGTTCAAGCAGCATGCACATGCGCACGGAGGAGGAAAAAAAGGCCCCCTTATTTTCCACAACACAGGACCAAGAGAGGAAAGCAAAACTGAGATGAGAGGAAGGAGGAGGCCCAGAGGAGGTCAGCATGAGGTTGTTATGAGGTCAGAGGTCGTAGAGGAGAGCTGTGAGGAGGAAAAAGTAGGGCGGCTGGGCTGCAGATGACATGTCAGTAGAAACATAGAAAGAGAAAGAGTGAGAGAAAGAGAGAGCGGCCTGCCTCATCATCATATGTGCAGTAGAAATACTTACTATTTGGGTATAATGTACACTGAAGTGCCTGTTTATCAGGTCCAGATACCATATAGGTCACTTTGTAGGTGTAGAGTTACAGACTGTAGCCTGTCTTTTACTATACTATATTATATCAGCTGAGGTTTTAGGACATTCGGAGGAAATTAAACAACGAATCTGTTGACAACATATGATTTATGGTCGTGGTTTATGCTGAGTAACACAGAGCAAGCCTGAGATTCTCCTGCTCAACCTGTTGGCCCATGAGGCTGCAGCTAGACACTACTTTTGGTACTGGGGCAGAGCTGAGACGCCGTTATAGACATTCAGTCAGTCAGTGACAGGCTCCTTTTGATGACCCACTGGGCAGCAGTAGCTCAGTGGTTAAAATGTTTGCCTACCAATCAGAAGGACACGATTTCAAATCCCAGCACTGCCAAGCTGCCACAGCTGGGCCTTTGGACAAGGCTCTTAACTCTCAACTGCTCAGTTGTATAAAATGAGATGAATGTTATTCCTTCTCTATAAGGGTGTCTGCCAAATGCTGTGAAGGAACACAGCTAACCCTTATAACTCTATGTGCTCATGCTAGAATCAGTCAGTCCAGCATTCTGCAAGTCTGAAAAGAAGGTGCATAGCAGAGACCATCTCCTTCATGTCACTAATTTGTTCATAACATTGCTGGATGCTTTCACATGTTAAGTGTTTATTCTGTTTGAATCACACTCCCGTGTGTTCTCCCTCTCAGTTTGAGTCTTTAGGCAGGTGAGAACACAGCATCCACACTCCAAGAGCATCTGAGCGAGGTGGTGTCGGTCACTCGCAAGTGAACTCTAATGAGAAAGCGATTTGATTCTAAATTGACCCTACTGCAGGAAGTGAACGAAATATGCTGTGTGTTTTGAGTTGAAGCAGTTTTTTTTAAATAGCTGCTAAACTGATCCACGAGGCGCAAACTGTGCCAAAGGACAGACCCAAAGTAAAAGAGAAAAAAAAACATTTGGTGTAATACATAAAATGTTTAAAACTAGTTAGTTATACAATTATCTAATCGTTTATTTAGCTCTGTTTCTGTGTCCTCAGTGTTAGGGTGATTTTTGCATTTAGAAAAGGTTGGCTTAACTTTTTCTTTTGCCATATCCAACAAATGAACAAGTTTTTCGAGGACGTTTTCAGTTCTACATGCACCTCAGATATATATATTTTTGGGGTTTTTTTTTTGCTTCCTTTAATTATATGGAGTGTGAAACCAAGCCAACCCAACGAGCAGATGAACCAAATGTATTAATTTCTCTGATTCAGACCCTGCAAACAGACTAATAGGTGTGAAAGCGCCCCCTAGTGCTTGGGGACTAGAGTGCCCATGCAGATTCTGACCCAACACATGCACTTTTGGTTAAGGAGTAGAGCCATGGACCACTGTACTGAGTATAAAGCACTGTGGTGAGGAATCAGCTCACTGCGCAGCCTGTTCTTACCATTCACGACACTGGGAGAGAGCAGGGTGGAGTCGCGCTCGGCCAGCCTGCAGGCCCCCTCCTCTCCCGCCTCGGGTATTGCCTGTGGCACTGGATCCTCCAGGGACTTCACAATGTCCAACCGGTCGATGTTCTTCAGCGCCCCATACAAGTTCTCCACTGCTGAAAACACAAGTCAAGCAGGTTACGCATACAGAATCCTGTAGTATGTCTTAGCGTTCAGAGAGGGAGTAAAGAAAATAATGCAACAATAATTCCGTACGTCAGGATCTGTACTAACCCCTGAACAGACACACTATCACTGCTTTACAAAAAAAAGTCTCTTTTTTCTATATAAAAGATTACGTTTTGAAAAGAAATTGTATAATATTTTTAATCTGTTTTTGGGAGCAGTATGTCAAAAATTTTGACTTATTATTTGTTACGAGCGACTTATTATCTCAAAGTAATGATTTATTTATTTATGTAAAAATAGTGTTTTTATCTCAAGCGACTGACTTTTTGGTACAATAAATCATTTTGACATAGGTCAAAAGTTTCATTTTGATTTCAATATTTTGAAACAGTGTCATTATTTTGAGATGAAAAGTCAAAATCTTGGGATAGGTTTAAAAACTGTAGTTAATAAAACACTTTCAGGCAATATAAAAAATATTTTTGAGATAATAGTCCAAATTCTGTTCTGTTCTTATTATTATATTATTATTTTGAGAAAAAAAAAAATCATTGCGAGATGTTGAGATATGAAGTAAAACATACGAGATATTAAGTCAAACGTTTGACATAACTTCATAAAAGCATCATATATTACCAGCCTACAGTCAGAAGTATAAAGATATACCAATGTGGCCACTTTTAGGCTGAGGCTCAGGTGTTACAGGGTAGACAAACAGGGAGAGGAGCAGTATAATGAGAGATGCTCACTCTGGGCTCTCTTGCCGTCTCGGCTGGTCCACAGGTTGAGCAGAGCTGTACTCTGGTCCAGGAGGGAGTTGGGATTCTCTACTCGTATCCTGTTAATGTCATCAACACCAAACTGCAGCTCTCTGGCCAGTTCTGCAGAAGCACAACACAAAGAGAAGAGATGAGCAAAACAGTGATAGAGAGAGAGTGAGAGAGAGAGACACACACACACACACACACACACACACACACACACACACAAACCCGTACCAGTCCAGCTTAAACCCAGTTGCTCAGCGATCAGTGTGATCTTCAGCTCTCTCCTTTCGAATGCATTCACAGCAGCTGGGAACAAAAAAGACAAATGTTAATTTATTACATTTATTTAAATGAATGCTAATTATAATACTATACAATAATTAAAATAAAATTATTATTCACATATACAATTATACGCATATACATATACAATTAATTATACATGACAAATTGATTGATTCATTCATCTTCATGAATTGCGTTGACTTGATCAGGGTATAATTGTTATTATTACATATCATTTATAATGCATATAGTGTATATACCACATACACTGCCCTCCAAAAGTTTGGAAACGCCTGAACAAAATAGGGTTTTTGGGCAATATCAGCATAAATCCTCTTTAGTTAGTGACCATTTTGCATTGATAATAAGGGACAACACAAACTATGAAAACATATTTTATTAAATAAAAAGTTTATGAACATAAACATGAACATAACATAGAAAAATACTCAAATTT